GTGGTATCAAGAAAGCCGACCGTGCAGAGGTAATGGCAAACTACTGGACGTAAATTTGCCTAGAAAACCACAAAACAGCCAGGATCGAAACATCGTTATGTTATCATTGCCCGGCGTGGATGCTAACAGCAACAAAGCAACATAAAAATCGAAAAAAACAACAGATCAAATAGTTTAGACATGTGTCAAGACGAGCACCAGACAGTGCCTCACATAGAGCCCTGTCACTTAGGCTTTCGAAAGAGGCTCTGTACAAATCATACTAGGGGGAAACATTGAAGGCAAGAGAGCAAGAGATAGACGCAAGAGAGCAAGAGGTAGACGCAAGAGAACAAGAGGTAGACGAAAGAGAGCAAGAGGTAGACGCAAGAGAACAAAAGGTAGACGATAGAGAGCAAGAGGTAGACGAAAGAGAACAAGAGGTGGACGAAAGAGAGCAAGAGGTAGACGAAAGACAGCAAAAGGTAGACGCAAGAGAGCAAGAGGTAGACACAAGAGAGCAAGAGGTAGACGTAAGAAAGCAAGAGGTAGGCGCAAGAGAGCAAGATGTAGACGCAAGAAAGCAAGAGGTAGACGCAAGAGAGCAAGAGGTAGACGCAAGAGAGCAAGAGGTAGACGCAAGAGAGCAAGAGGTAGGCGCAAGAGTTCAAGAGGTAGACAACTTTGTTATGTAATGCTTCACAATCGACGTCACTGCACATTGGGAATTCTTACGTGTGCTCATTCCTCCGATGCAGTAGCCAACGGTGCAATAAGGTGCATCTACTACTGATTGTTTCCTTGACTTCGAAGATAGCACCGATGTCATCGGTAGATACCGAATACGAGATTGGCAAGCCATATTCACCCTTTAGCAAATCGCATTAATCCTTTTGCAAATTTAATTAATCCAAAGAAAGATGATGAAATATGTGAAATCGACAGATTTAAATCGGTTTAGTACAGAATTATACAGACAAATGGACATGCTCTTCATCTTGCGTTTACCCTAATGAAACAAACAGTTTTTGAATGAGTCGATTTTGTGTTTCAGTTCGAAGAATTCATTTTTTGCTTCATCTTAACCAGTTTTTACAGTAGTATGCGCCTGACGAGATAAAGCGAAATAAATCAGGCAATAGATTGTGCAATCTATTATTTATGTCTTCTTTGTCCAAATTCTTCCAAATGAAAATCAAATTCACCCTTTTGTAAACCGCATTCCCCCTTTTGCAAATCAAATCCATCCTTCTGCAAATTGTATTCACCCTTTCGGAAATCAAGCCATTTTACAAACATTTTTGTGGAGAAATACAATGGACATAGAGCAGGGTAAAAATCACACAAAATATGGAACGATGGCTCTTTAAGAACAGCTATAAGGACATGAAGACCAACCTATACAATACATTGGGCAGAACACAAAGAAGATCATTACATCTCGCCCAGCAAGTTGAAGAAGTAACTGGAGAAAGAGACGACGAAGACGATCGTATCATTCATTTTCTGTATTTCCATCTATTTTTGCTGCCATCAAGACGGCGTGTTTAACTGGTAATTTCTTGTTGTCCAACATCCAAACCCACCATACACAAGAACAGACCATACACAAAACTGAAAAATAAGCACATTTCTTTACATAGAATAAATCCCTACACACATCACCGGAAATTGCCCTCCCCTCCTGCCAAATATGGCAGTATCGTTCATGCAAAATAATCGTCATCATAGCAACCGATCTCGTCTTCCATTCAACGAGGCGGGAAATCTGACCCACCGGAAGCTTACAGAGCAGAAATGAGAAGTCATCGCCTCGTGAATCGGCTCATGCATGTGATCTTCCAGACAGGTCATTGATACACTCTGGCAACATAAGTTTCACGTGTATATAACCCCTAGCCAGAGGTGAGTAAACACAATGTCTGCCTCACATATCTTAAGTCGTTGAGTTAAAGTGGAGAGAATCGACTTCTTTATTGCACCGCGATTTATCCCAAATAGCCCTGTCTGTCTCCGCAAAACAACTAAAGTTTAGTCGCGTATCCTTTACAGGACGTTGCAGAACCAACCCCAGCAGCCCCTGGCTGTTGTGTGGTTTCTCTAGGCAAATTTACGTCCAGTAGTTTGCCATTGCTTACTGGACGGTCGGCCCCCTGATACCACTGTCGAAACCAACGAAAGGCGCATGACCCGCAGCTGGGATCGAAGCCGGCACCCCGGTATTACGAAACGTTCGCATCGACTTAGCCACAGAGCCGACGCAAAACAACTAACCAGTCATAAATCAGTCAACACCAGACAAGAACCCGGTGTGGGTTCCAGGGCCCCATTGTGGGGAAAACAAGATTAGACCCACTGCCTACGCAAGAATTATGTAGTAAGAATCGACTAACTGGGGGTTTCCGTCGAAGTCGGAATGCATATGCCTAAGAGGCAAGGAACCCCACTCACAACCTTCACTTTTCCTTCTCACTTCCATTCACAACCTTTACTTACCCTGCTCCATACCGATTCACAACCT